TCTAATAATAAAATTTAAAGGCATCAAAGAGCTTCCTATAGGTAGTTTATAGAAGAATTGGCTATCCTTGAAAATATATTACTATTATATTATATCATTTCGGATGCTTCGTGTACTCTCTCGTGCTGGTAAAGATACACCATTGGAGATATCAGCTACATTCTGTGGTGCTCATGCTGTTCCAAAGGTATAGTTTTCAGTTAACGTTAATTCTGCAGACAATTGACAAGAATAATTATAGAAAAAAGGAGTTTGCTGAGATTTTCAACCACTGCAAATTTTTCAAAATAATTAGAACGGCAATCAGTTATGTTACCCAATTTCTTGACATGTTTACAGTTGTCCCTAGTTGATCAAACTGTATGCGAACAATCAGGCTACGTTTCCGGAAGATATAATAATTTTTTCTGAAATACTACATATGTTTAGCGCAAAAATCAATTTTGACAAATCAGTATAAGGAAAATCAAATTAAAATGTATAAACGCAGAATCTAGCGTTTAGTGTAATCTGGTGCATATTTAAGAATTCGAATTATTCGAGCATTTGAAAATCAACATTTGAAGGCTTCCACCCAATTTTTCATAATTACCTTTATCGACTTTACCTTTGATGTTATTTCATTAAAATCCTTTCCTACTGATTACTGAACAGTTATACCATTGGATTTAATGCGCTTAGTAGCACTTATGAACTTTACACATAGTCATACTGTACTCTGGAATTAAAGCTTACCTATTGGCGTAAATCACTTCCAACTATAATATTGTGCCGTATCTTCAGTAATGCAATGGTTTAGAGAACATTTAATTGGTGAACTTTAACCTACCTTGTTCCATCTATAATTTTCGTAAAATCAGGAAGAAGTTTGGATTACGTAACAAATACTTGGACAAAGAATGCAATTATTGGAACCTTGTTTCACGCCCATACCTGAATTGGATTTAAATAAACTAGAATTTAAATTTTAATATGACATTTTATTAGATGACATATAAAGTCCCAAAGTACTCTTGATGATCAGTGCTCTATCACACTGGAAAGAATAGTCAGTCACTTCCACCAATCAGCCAAGAATTGTGTTGAAAATTTTCTATACATATTATTAATTCATAGGGAAGAGCACTGAACAAATCTCATAATACGCCCACTGATCACAACA